ATTAAAATTCAAAAATTGATGAAAACGTTGTTCTGCAGTAAGTTCTATAGTAATTTCTATTTACGAAGGTTAAAACATACGTTGATATTCATTATTTGATATTCAATACTGAAGTCAAGTTGAATCTGCACCCAAAATTCGTACCGTATTACGTGTATTTCTCATTGTAATCAAATTACGTACATTTCGTATTTCCTGATTTGGTAACACTGCTCGATATACTCGCGACTTGTGAATCACAAGTCGATTGTTAAACGTTCGTCCATAGAACTTTCGATATATGAGATTTCATAATTAAAATATTAAATGTACAGTTAAAAGGAAACAATGAAAGAAAAAAACTTTAAAGAAAGTGAAAATAAATAACTACAACTATTTTATATTCAAGAAATAAGGTTGTGTTTACACCTTTCCTAACCAAACTAGATCATTATTTATTTATGATCAGTAGTTAACTAAGAATACCTTTCATCAACAATTCACTGAAATAATCTGTAGACATTATTCTATAACTAACTGTTTATACGTACACGCTCACGTATTCGACATATTCAAGAATAAAATAAAAAGGTAATTTCATCCATGTCCATGTGTGTAATATTTAAAAATGACTTTGTATCCTTTCAAACTAGAATGAATTTTTATAGTTAATGATAAAAAATATAAATGGAATTCAATAAATGAATGAAAAGTGTGAACTATAATGGATAAGGAATAACATTCTTTATACAGTATACAGGTTTTTAATTAAAAAGACTATAGAATGCCTACGATAGCTAGTTCGTCTTTAACGTATGAAATCCTTATGTATCTAAACTCTTTCTATTTTGGTATGTTTGCCACATGTGAACTGGGTATGGGCTTTTTTAAAGCTGCCAATCTACCTTCACCTGGCACAAATACAACGCTGGCAGAGTTTGCACTTTTATTCTTCCTCATAATCACAGAAGGAGCCAGAATTTATCTTGGAAGAAAAGGAAATTTGACAGAACATGGATTACCAATTCTTATTGGAATTATTTTAACTGTACCCAGCTCCTTAGCGACACTATATTTTCTAATTTGGCAACACTATGTACTCAGACTAGAAGTGATTCTCTGCAGCATACAATTGGTACTTCTAGCATCTGAACTAGTCATTTCTATCTTATGCCTTATTGCCATTTACAAACCTTCGTCTCCAGAAGAATAATAAGCACATCATACCTAAGAGTTTTAATCAATTGCATCACATTGTATGTGTTTGTCATCAATAAAAATTGAAATTAATTCAATCTATAAAAGTGTATGTTTTTAATCGCTGACATATCAAGAATCTTATTTTTTTAGAGCTAACAAAATACATAGACATTCTCTATAAATTAACTTTGTACACAATATATCATATAATCAATTTTTCTTTTTATTAATTCTTTGTAAAAGTGACATTTTTTGTCTATAATAAAATAAATATTTCTTGAATAAATAATGCATTTTTTGATCTAATTACTTTTAATATGTATATATGTATATATATATGTATATGTATATTTTAAAAGTACTTAAAAGTTTTAAAAGTTTTCATTATAAAACTGAATTAAAAATTCAGAGAATTAAAACTGAATGCATAAAATGGTTCGTTTCTATGCTATTAAAATACATGTGAAAATTGCTGAAATATAATTAATATTCAATATAAATTAATCTTTTTTTTGCAACTAAAAAACAAATTTTATATGCATTTAAAAAAAATTTTTAAATTTAATAGAATTTGTACCTATGTCTTTTGTTTCTCTAATTAATCTTTTATACTATTTGCAGCAGCCCTACGTCTCCTTATTGCACGCAATCGGTTGTTACAATATATTCGTAAGAATACCGAACCAAATACTAGTAGAATACCAATAATACCGATAATTGTCATGCGATGATGATATATCAAACAGGATAATAGTATAGCCAATCCCTGAAAAAAAAAAGAAAATGAAATATTTTGGATTTCTTTATATTATTAATAATAACATACGAAAAAATAATAACAACCTGTCGTATAGTCATCATAATGACAAATGTCACTGGACCAAATTTAGAAATTGTATAAAAGATATATAATTGACCGCTTGCAGAACAAATTGATATAAGTGAGCAATCCACAATGAACCTAGGATACTGTGTAATAATAAGATTATTAAAGTTATATATGTAATTATTATGAATATTTTTATTAATTGAAATCACCTTTGTCATAAAAGAAAATATGAGAGGGAAACTTGATTGTTGAAATAAAGACATTGCAGTTAATAAACAGGAAAACATATTAACTACACACATCATTTGCACACTTGTTGCACCATATTCCACAAATAATGCACTTTGCCAGGTACTTGTAAAACTATCTAATAATAAATAGCCTCCTAGGAGAATAATACCAGACACAGTAGTAGCTCCATCTAAAAAATATTAAAACAAGAATTACAAAAGTGAAAAATTAGATTTACGTTAAAATAACGGAAGAATGCTTACCATTTTTGTAATCTGAACTATCTAACATGAATAATGTCATTCCAATAGAAATGAGTACAGCTGTAACATATTCGTAATATTCATATGTGGTATGTGAAATTATTTTCCCCATTATCATTACTGGGATTATTTTTGAAGCTTTTGCTAATACCTAAAATGTATACAATTATTAAAAGAAGTTCCCAAATAAAAAAATAAAGACAAAAATATCAAACAAGTGATTACCTGTGTTGGGAAACTGACATACTTTAAAGCTTCGTATTGACACCAACTACTCATGATATTTGATAAGGAACAAAATACATACTTATAAAGAGGTGCTTTGTGTTGTGGTTGTCTTTGAATTATTAAATACAGCCCTGACATTAAAAATGCAAGAATTCGATTTACAAATACTAAAAATTGTGAATCTTGGAAACGATCCTTGTTACCAGCAACATCTTCATATTCCTAAAAATTAAATATATTCATATTAAAAAGACGTTTTGGTTAAGAAACATAACAGTTTTACTTATTTACATTAAATTA